AGTCATGGGGTTGTGACCACAAGACAACTATTTTTTGGCAGCCCCAACCTGTCCAAAAGTTGTCCGAAAAAAGACAGGATGGGCTATATCCAAAAAGGGCTCTCTTTATTAGCGGTCTTTTTATGGCAAAAAAATACATCGTAGGAAGGGGTTCTTCGGTCAGTTGTCTTTTTTTGGGATGAAAAAAAAAAAAGATAGCCAAAAAAAGGAACCACCATAAAATATGGCCTTAGGCTGTATATCATGTGAGTTCACACCCTATATGATGTCCGCTGAACACTGGATAGTTGAAACGCCCTGCAGTATTCATGATGAAGCATTTGACAATCTCAGTCTGTTGGGAAGGGTAAAGCTGCAACTGTCCGAGCTCCTCGTGCGGGAGAGCAAAGCGGTTGTCGAGGTCCACTCTGACCGAGTGTAACAGGGGCGTAGACCTCGCATCCCTACAAGGCCGGGACGGGGCGATATGCCGGATTTTCACCGGCCCAGGCTACGTTTCACAAGGATGAACCAGAAGCTGGTTATTGTCCTTGCGTTTGCTGTGCCAAACCACATATTCCATGGGAATATTCGGCATCACGGCAAACCAACGTTTCACATTCGGCAAGCACGGCTTTACTTCAAGTACCGCAAGGGACTTCGATTTCTTCGCGCTCGTACTGAGCAGGCGCGCCACACACAGCGAACACGTCGCTTCGTGTGTGATACGGTTGGATAACACCCTGCTTCTACACTCCAAGTGAACAAATTCCAGATGAAGATCGGGGTAGGACATGAGGAACATAATCATGTCGACACAACCCGGCGCCACTGCCTGCCGAAGATGGTTGTACATGTACCCTAGCCACGAAACCGCCCCTCCCTCTAAGTGGCAACGCAAAGGTACACGTAGTGTGTATGGGAGCGCGGTACGCAGGTGCGCACGGTTTTTGTGTGGGCGTGAATGCATAGGCACATGCACACACACGTCCTATGAAAGACTCGCGCGGTGTATAACCGTGACTCCGTGGAAAACACGCGACTGTATTGCGTTAGTGATTTCAGGTTTTGTGTCATTTACCGTGGCTTGTGTGCGGAGTAGCTCAAACAGCCCCGTAAAAACATCTCTTGTACGGAGTATTGGGAAACTGCATGCAGCGGTTTTTCTGAGGACAAATTCCCACGCAGCGGAGCGGAGCGGTGTTGTTTCATCGGAAAATCTGGACGATCCCGAAGCGTATTGTTTTAAAACGTCCCGCTCCGTCGAGCAAAGCCCTCCGTGAACACCCCGACAAAAATCTTCCTACCTAGGTGTTCAAGATTGTTAAATCTGATTAAAGTTGGCCATGAATGTGTGAGCTTCAATCATGCATCCAAATGGGGAGCGCCATTTTCTAGGCCACGGCGCCCAGTCGCATTAACCAACTGATCGCGTGTTGTTTTGCGGTTTCACCCCCATCTATTCTGAGCGCCAGTCTACAACGTTCGGCATTGTTTGACGCACCGGTTGGGTTATGTCGCACAGGAGGCAGGTGAACACTGGAGCTTTTTTCTTGTATTCGGCGTTTTTTAATTCCTCCGCGTTTCTCTCTGGGTGCTTGCTTTCAGTTTTTAACATGAGAGGGACCAGCGATCCCCCCCCCCTCCCCCGCCCCCCCCGGTGTTTGCCATCGGGGTTTGGGTTTTCGTCGCTTGGCAACGACGTTGTAAAAAAAGCCCCCCACTCGGTGTTTGCCATCGGGATTGGGATTTCGTCGATTGGCAACGACGTTGTAAAACAAGCCAATTCACTTCGTGAACTCGGCAACCAGGTTACCGTCTTTTTTTTTTTTTACCTCTGTTTTTTTTTTTGGCGGTAACCATAATGGTGGTCGAGTAGATCATGTTGTGCGGGGTCGAGAAACCTCACTCCGCGCAACGGGGGATGATCGCACCACGTTGTGTTAAAATGGTCAAGCTTCCTCGAGGCAGTTACACAGTGCTTACAACTGTCTCTGGAAGTGAAAGCACCAGAAAATAAATTAAGTCATACGCAGCTGTCATCCGTACGCAAGGAAGTAAGCACAAGATGCCGAACACCCTTAGCAGGATGCAGCTCACCCTTCATGCGACTCGCCAAATACCTCACGGCGCTTCGCGCTTTGTGATGTGAGAGCCTGGTCCGGTGAGAACCCGGCGTGCTCCGTCCCGGCTTTGTAGGGATGCGAGGTCAATGGTCAAACGACTACGGCATGCACGACTATGAGTACACCCCCCCCCCCTCCCCCTTTTACAGTCACGATATGGCGTTTCACAGTTAGGTTCCAAACTGTTTACCCCATAGCTTCAAACCCGCAATCTTGGGAGATAGAAGGGTGTTCTAGGTGAGAAACTACCCCGAACTCGCGTGAAGCTGCATGACAACGTAACACCGGCGATACAGTGTGAGCGACAAGAGACGCAAAGCAAGCGGCTAATCCCTGTTGTCGGTTTTTTTCTAGCGCATTCATGAAGAAACATTGAAGATGGAGTGAGTCAATGTGTGAACCTGCTACTCATGTCAGGACCAGCAGTAGCCGCCGTTCCTGGATGCGCTTAACAGAGGATGCCAATATCTCGTTGACCAACGAAAGGGTTTGTACACTCAACTCCCCAGGCTTAAGCACAGACGCGAAAAGGTAGCTGTGGTACCCAAAACAAAAATATCCCAGGCTTCGTGGAGGCGCTGTGAAACCCTCTACACCTTCGGCGTGTGACGGGGGTGGGTCTGCTTGGGGGGATGCCTGACGATGCACATACCAAGAAGGGATGCAAGGACTGCTTCTCGGGGTTCGTTCCCATATGTGGTGGTGTGTAGGAGCAGGACTTTGCTACAGTCCCCCACCGGGATAGCCGTACACGGGATGATGAAGATTGGGGGCTGGAAGATGTTGGCTATGATTGGGTGACCACTAGTCACTGGAGAGCAGGTTGAGGCACTGCTGGCAGAGCTACGCCGACGCTGAGCATAAACTGTTTCCGCAGTTTAAGAAAACAAGCGTCTCTTATCGCTTGAGCCGGGCACAAATATGCCATCAATATGAACGAACTTTGTGGTGAGTCATTCCGCACCCGATGAGCGGTCAAGTAGAGGTAAACCCACGGGCCGTCGCCGGAGACCGCATTCAATCCAGTACTTCCATGAAATGATCCGTTCTGTCTCTAAACCAAGAGTTTGTTTCATGTGCGTTCTGGATTGAAATGGCCGGCGGGGGTCCTCGCCTGTTATGCCCCCCTGCGCGAAGGGGATACTCAGCGGTATGCTCCACTTTGTGCGGGGATAGTATGCCTAGAGACCCAATCTAGGTATGTATTCGAAGGGCAGGCAAACTTCAACATGATCTCAAGATTTCCAGCGTCCAACTCTGCTCGCGACTTTCTGGAGCGAAATGAGCTTGTGGTATTCTTGGTCACTTGGTCACCAAATCCTGGACATTCTTATCGAAGTCGTGATTCTATGATTTGGTTTCAAAATTATCTACGGGGTGGCTCTCAACGTTACATGTGTATGTGTCATTTCGATGTGTTCGTGCTTCGGCATCTTTCTTTCGCGCAGTGAACATTTCTTACGCTTACTTCTGAAAGGCACGCAGGGGGCTCGTCGGTACAATACCGTGCATGCCGGAGGATCGCCAGTCATTCATGGCATATGTAATCGATGTCTAAAGTCGCCGCGACTGGCTCTATTTCGAGAGGAGTCATTCCTCACCACAAAAGCCTCCGCAGGATACATGAAAACCCCCGCTCATATGCACAACAAGAACAGGACACTTTGATTCCTGGGCAAATATACACACACTCACACCCCATGAGCAACACGGCACAAACATACGAGACAGAGAGAGAGACAGAGAGAGACAAAGAGAGCAGTGCAGCAGGTTGCAGCAGCAAGATCACCAGCTGCAGCAGACAACACCTGTACGCAGAAGCAATCATCGGCCGTCGACAGGTGATAATTGCCCGATTACCCGCAAGGGTTCGAATTGTTCACAGAGAATCTGCTCAGAAACCTCAGAGCGATGACGGTGCAAATACCCGCGGAAGACGATTTGTAACTCAAGATCATAGAGTACCGCAGTAGGATCTGCGGCAAAGACGCCGCTAGCCATCATCAAGCACACAGTCCTCACACGCACGCCAAGAGTCACGGTTAGAAAAACACACTTTCCCGCAACAGGATGCGAGATATTTCTGCAGTTTGTCGGAAACCACGGCACTACTGAAGGTTGAGATACAACGATACGACCGCGATACCTTGGCCATTTCTCATGTCCTCTTGTGTTTCCCCTGGGAGGCAAGGCGCCAAATTCCCGAAGGGGAGGCTTGCGTATCTTAGTTTTCGTTTCTGCATCCAGTCGTTGGCTCGATTTTCCAGTTGGTTTTCCCTACGTTGATAGATGTGGGGCTTTAGGTCTAGTAGTTTTTAACATTTTTCGAGTGCTAGAACGATAATCGGAATTGCTTGAGGCCTCGGAGGTTGGTTCATGGATCGATTGGCGTCGGTACGGTTTGAATGTGAAACGACAGCAACATCAACAATAATATCAACGACAATGATAAAAACAAGCGATTGTACGCGCATTAGCTTTATCAGTATTCTTGGTCTTGGAAAGACAACTCTACGAACCAAACTTGACATGCCAGGGTGCCCAAGTTTTGCCTTTGTTACAAGCTAAGGCGACTTGAAGAGGGATGTTATCCCAGTAACGGGTGCACCGAGTAGCAATGATAGGTCAGGCACACGAACATTGGTGCAACTACAAGGGTCAATTTGACAAACCTTGGCACTCGGAAGGAAACATTCGAGAACAAACAAGGTTCATGATGGTAGAGCCTGAGGCCGATCCGGCCGTGGCTTTATTTAGGGTCATGGGGACGTATTATCCATACCCTGCGTAGAATAAGGTGACCAAGGCCGAGACTGATCGGGCTTTGCTGCATCTCGCATCGTCTTTCTACTCCGCACCGAATTCCTGGGCACTTCAAGTCTTATCGTTACTCACCGATATTTGCGCGCTGGAATATAGAGAGTCATGTATGATCTCCACGAACGGGCTGAACACCACGTTCATGACAAGGCTGAGCTGTGGGAACAATTACGAACGGAGCACCAACGACGGGGACGGGTGTGCAAATGATAGCCTTGGTGAAATGAGCCAGGGTCGTCCTTGAGAGTTCTGCTCTGTCCGATACTCGGAATACCTCATGTGGTTGCATGTAGACGGTATGCTTGTGGACCTCAAACGTATGTTGTTCGTAATCAACACACTACTTCTCACCACTGTGAAACCCATCGCTATCCACAGCTGCATGGATGTTCTCGTGGCAAAGAAAACCAGGCTGGTGAGCAGAATCCGACGGCAGGTTTCGAATATTTCGTACCACCAAGCTCGAGGTTCGTCTGAAACGCGGACACAGAGCACATCGCCAAAAACGGCATTAATCTGACCAAAGAGGAACCCTCGAGACCGATGATGTCCATGGTACGAATTGCATGATCGCTTCGTAGGGTGCTTATCCTTCGACGGAAATACATGGACAACCATGAAAGGGAAATACTAGGGTAATACTGGGCGACGATCTAGTTGGTCGCTCCTGACAAAATATTGATACGATTCTTTCATATGTGTTGGGAGACACACCAATTCTCACATGCATCGTGCAGAAGCGCAAATGGCTGAAGCGCGAGTGCGTTGACCCGTTTAGCCTCCTCAGCAAATGTGTCATCTTCTTTAGGCCGACCGTGTATCTCGCTAGGATATAACAGATGACGATGTTTCCAAAGCACGCCAGAGTACAGCGCAAGAATGCCGTTCGGGTACGCCACCGCCATGACGACCGCTAATGCTCGGTACTTCGGATGCTCTGCATCATTGCAGTCTATGGAGAAGTCTGCCCGCAGCATACTGCGGCCGTCATCGAACGACTACTGGGCGTAGGATACAAGGTTGGGCAAGTGAAGGTGCCGTCAGTTCAAACGACAGACGTCGCTTATCGGCAGGTATTCTGCGCAACTCCCGTCCCGACATAAAGGCTGAGGGAACTAAGCCTGGGTTTGTAGCAATGAGGACTCTATTGTTATCAAGGAGGTCGAGGACGTATATACCTCACAAGAAAGTGTCCTGAGAGCCGCGTTGATGGCAGGAGTCTGCACAAAGTACGTAAGCGCGAGGAGGCACTCGTTGCACTTCATTGATCGGCCTCGCCATGTACGACCGTCGGTGATGCAGCTGGAGCGAAGAAATGTGCGAACGCCCATGATCACGATGGCCACGCCCAGCGGTGCGATAGTTTTAAAAACGAGTTCACCGTAGAAGGTACCGTGTACCAAGCACGTCGCAGAAAAAACCTGTCAAGGTCGCATGTCGGGCCCGTAAGAAACATGAGCGTACATATTTGTACGAGGATGACGTCTGCTGTAGGTTTCACGTGAACGCCTTTGAGTGCAGCAACAGTTTTCAGTACGACCCCAACGCTCAAAATCTTGACCCAAATCGTTCTCGGAAGCCACAATATATCTTGCTTGATACATTCTCCAGTTTGACGCTGTCGGCTCGTACGCACAGTGATCTTTCTCACCTTCGGCACGGTAAAGTTCACCATGTCCAGCCCTCCTAGAAATGATCGGAGGGTGTTTGAACGCCTCACAACCAGCACTAGGGGAGTGGCAGCAACAACTTGTGCGAATGACAGTACCACTTTTACGCCGTTCGCAGCATATCTCATTGGCAGGTTCGGAAGGTAGGCAGATGGGTCGAGCGCCCTCGCATTCACCAGAGAAGACCTTCAGACGCATAATTGGGGGTTAGCGTTGGTTTTGTCTTAGAAACGGCCGATGGTGATTAACACTTCCGTAATTTCTCCATGATTTGTATTGCCACTGCTGCATTACTTCTCACTTGATCTGCAGAACGACGGTAGCCTGTTCTCCTGATGCAGCACCCGACAAGCCTGCAAGAGCAGAAGCTAGCTGGTCGATGACAGGACAGAGCAATTCCGATCGCATGACGACCTTCTTCATTCCAGGAGCTGTGTCTGGATATGGTGCCCGTGATAGAAGCCTGTCTAGCTTCACAGTAAACATTTCGACAGTCACCAAGAGGTCTTGCACCTGAGGAGCATCCGGCTCGGGCAAGGTGTGCAGGACGTCATGTCGAAGAAATGCCACAACCGTTTCCACCTCAAGTAGTTTCTGCCGGAGCCTTTTGGTGGTAGACTGTTGAACCGTGCTCGCATTGAGCAGAGACGAGGTTTTCTGAACGGCATCGCCGTTAACTGTTTCGTGAGCCTGAAGGTTGGCCGACCCAACGAATGTTGGCGCTCCTAGCAGCAGACACGTGGCCAGGACCACCCCCATGATTTCGGCAGCCGTCGCACCGCTAGATGATTCGCACGCAAGACACACACCATTCACAGATACATAGTGCGATTTCGGGCACACGAGACAGTAGGGCCCTGTATTGTCTCCGAGGCAAATGTCGTCCCCTCCCCCGACCCCGCCTATACACAAGTCAGGGATCGGGCACACTCGTACATCCGTGGATGCTTCGCTCGTACGCCAGTACCCCGCTGCGATAATGGGTGATGAAGGAGTTGGGTGTGGCGTTGTCTGTGGTGATGTTGCAGTCGGTGTAGGCGATGGTGTTGGAGATGGTGACGTCGGACCAGGAGTGGGGGCTGGTGTCGTAGGGGACGTTGTAGGGGACGGCGTAGTAGATGGCGCCGTGAAAAAACATGAGCACACTCTTCGGTAAAGCGGACTCTCCCCACCATCGCATGTCGGTGTGCGCCTCGTCCCAAAGTTGTGGGCCTCGGCTGCATCCAAAGCATCTGCGTTAACATTTGTTGCGAGACTCGCGCTCGTTGTGGCACTAGCCTGGTCCACGGCGTCGAATGTGGGACTCACTAAACATCCCGCCGTGAGGTATGGACGATCGTCAATTTCAACAATTCTGTAGTTTTCGTCGAAAACTGATGATAGCCAGTGCAGCGAAGCTTGGAAGGTACCTTCAGACGTGTCCGGGCCAAAGTTGTAGTACCAATCCGAGATGGTTTGGTCATATAAGATGACCCCTAGGGCATTTAGCACTCCTTCGCACTCCTCGTTGGTCAGCTCTAATGCATCCTCATTACAAGGGGCTCCTTCCACAACACATTTATCGGTACAGCTGACCCCTGGATCTGCAAAAATGTAGCATGCACCATTGTACAGAGCTCGGCCACCGTTGGTGCAGTAGTCCTGAGCATAGCAAGACCCCAACCAGCGCGCAATGAGCAACGACCCAATATTCCACACACTGAGTGGAATCCTTGAACAAGCCATTCTCGAACTTTTCAGGTACAAAGTATATGCAGCCATACCTTAGGTGCCCATGTATCCTCTGGAACGAGTGGCAGGAAATGTATCGTCGCGGGGCACGTACCTTACACAGCATGGGGACCCACCGAGGGCACACGCGGCGGAATAACACAAAATCGACCAAAGAATTCCACGAACGAATAAAGATAGAGCTTGGCCAACCAGGAACGTCGCATCGAAAGTTTTGTTTAACTTTGTTTGCCCACAACCAACAGCACGCTTCCCAAACTTACCAGCTATTGGAGTTACCGTTATTTTGAGACAGCGGAGTAGAGATATTTACAATATTTGGGGGGCGCGCAGAGGATATACATCAGCAACCCACATAGGTCAAACAGTAATCCCGGGCCGAGGGGTGCGACACCGCCCATCTGCGCACGTCCGAGCTGTCAACGACAAGCATGTATGCAGCTTTTTTGAAATCAGGATGTCAAGACTCTCACGTGATCCTGGCCTTTGATGAAGGTCAAGAGTTTCTGCGAGACCACACCACAGAAGTAGTTTCAACAAGGCTGCCAGCAAACGGTTCTTCTTCAGCAGGTCAGACATTTATTTGCATATGCATAAACTACGTACGTTTCGAAAATCTACACACACGGTATCTTTTGCATACGGGGAGCTTCGCGGCGTACCTCTTCGGGGTCGCCGCTACGCTCGTAGGGTGTATCGCGATTTTGCGAGTGTGCGGGTTGATTTTTGAGAGGAGACAAAGAAGTGCATAGTCTACAGCTGCAGGACGCGCTCCGCGGCGTACCGGCTTCGAGGTCGCCGCTACGCTCGTGGGGTGTAATGCGATTTTGCGAGTGTGCAGGTTGAGTTTGAGAGGCGAGGAAAGAAGTGTGGTCTACAACACAGCAGGTAGCCACCTACATGCCGCTTACCACTGCTGTGGACTATACGACAGTGGGGGCCTTCTATACTGCCTGTTGAATAGTGCCGTTGCCCGGTCGCACCCACCGAAATACCAATTCGTTCTGTACTCTGAATATTAGGAAACATAAAAGGGAAAACGACACAACAGGGTATACCCTGGTCGAAAAGCGACTCACCCGTGGGTACACAAGTGTTGGATCAGTACGGACATATGAAGATACTGGGTAGAGAGAGATCGGAACGGTTTTTAATGTGAAGACAACAACAACAACAACAATAACAACAACAACAACAGTCATTAACCGCAGTAAATGCACTCATATGATTGGTCAGCGCCCACTTTCACCCCGCTGCGTCGGAAAAAGCGCGGGGTATACCCTGCCGTGGCTACTTTTTTCAAAACTGTACCCTGTTTTTGGAAATGTACCCTGACCTGACGGGAAATCAGACCCTTGTCATCAAATCATTTCCTCCCAAATCCTTATCTCCTCCCAACCATGGGATACCACACGGCGAATGTTCCCGCCCAACAACAACCATGGCAACGGGGCAGGAATCAGTTTCGGCGTTTCCGCCCCTCCGAAACAACACCAACCATCAACTCTTCCCGCTATAAATCAACTGGCCGGGCAAAACGCCAGCACAATGTTGAAATATGAACACACGCGTACAATACCCCGTGGACTACACTGCTTGCTGCAGTCTATATGCGACATGTTGCGAGATGTACGGGTCACGCTAAGAAGGCGAGACCGATCCAGCATGGTTGAAATGCATGCATGTGCCGATGTGTGGCGCTGTACTGGTGGAAAACTCGCGCCCACAGAGCGGACGGAGGGGAGAGGCAGGACCGGTACACACATACACGCCCTGGAGATGCAGTCGCACACACACACGAGTCTTATCCGTACTCCAACAGCAGGACACTGCTGTGTCGTCCATGTCCTTCGCCCTCCCTGTCGGTAGAGAGAAGAGTGCTCGTGTTGTGTTTCATCGGTTGATCCCGCTGAAGCCTGACGTCTTCTTACTACATTGGTTGGCTTGGTTGGCTAGTAAGCGCGACCGCTGCTGTTACAGTAGTAAACCAGACACACACCACAATTGAGACACAACAGACAACACACATACCACACACGAACGCACACACGGCACACACAGGCAGGAGGAGTTGTGGCGTTGTTTTGGAGGGGCGGAAACGCGGAAACTGATTCCTGCCCCGTTGCCATGGTTGTTGTTGGGCGGGAACATTCGCCGTGTGGTATCCCATGGTTGGGAGGAGAAAAGGATTTGAGGAAATGATTGATGAAAGGGTCTGATTTCCCGTCAGGTCAGGGTACATTTCCAAAAACAGGGTACAGTTTTGAGAAAAGTAGCCACAGCAGGGTATACTCCGCGCTTTTTCCGACGCAGCGGGGTGAAAGTGGGCGCTGACCAATCATATGAGTGCATTTACTGTTGTTAATGACGTTGTACCCAGGTGAGTCGCTTTTCGACCAGGGTATACCCTGTTGTGTCGTTTTCCCAGCATAAAAATACAAACTCAGAAAGACTACATATCTATGCGTACAAGTACTTGCACCCTGAACTTTTAATAGTGCCGGTGCCCGGTAGTTGTTGTCTTCAAACCGTACCGTTCTCTCCGCCCGTACCTTCTTCTGTCCGTACTAGTCTAACACTTGACGGGGTCGATTCCCGTGGTCACAGGCTAACTTACCCAACAAAGGTATACGAAAATAAATGGAACCGAAGGGTCCGCAAGCCAATAAACGTCAACGACAGATACATACTGTAGTCTAGGCCACTCCGCTCGCCTCTACACGCTATGCGAGGTAACCCTAGACTGGAAAAAGAAAGAAAAAGAAAAAGAAAAAGAAAAAGAAAAAGAAAAAGAAAAAGAAAAAGAAAAAGAAAAAAGCAGATGGAGAGAAGGGAAAGAGAAGGAGAAAGACACAGACAGAGAAAGACACACGCCGTAGCGACAAACAACAAACACACAAACATAACAATACAAGACAACACCAAACAACACAAGACAAAGCGGGCCACTCGAGCCAGCCCATGTACGTCATCGCTCCCGGGGGGTTGGTGCAATGGTGCAGTGCCGGGAGGGGGGGGGGATAAGTCAAGCAAGGGGTTCAATTCGGCACAGTGTTTCGCGCCACTCGGTCCGCCTCTTCGCGTTTCCTGTCTTTCCTCGCCGTCTCGTCCGCCTGCTGTACCCCTCCCACCCCCGTGGTTGTTGCTGTGTCCGTGTTGTTGCCGGGCTTCTTGTTTCGTTTGAGCGCTCGTTGTCGGCTAGCCTTCTCTTCCTTCTTGTGCCAGGAGGTCATGAACCTCTTTGCTCCCTGCAGTACCCCTGTATGCCACGGTACCCCCCGGTCCACCTTCGCTGCTTCCATCCAAGTTGTTTCCGGGACTCCGAAGAAGCATGGCTCGGCGTCCGTAGATCCGTGCTCTGCTTCGAACATCTTGAGGTCGTCCTTCAGGCTCATCTGCCAGTTTTGCTCCGGTTTCCCCCTGCCTCGCCCCCCCCCCCCCCACCAGCTCGCCAAGCATCACCCCTTTCGGGAGTCGTCCGTCTGGCTGCCTTACCAGCGCTCCCGCGAACAGCAGGCGCCGTTGCCAGATAGTGGTTTCCACGCTCTGGCACCCTACCCTCTTCAGGGTCTGGGCGTAGGAAAGCTGCCGGTAGGTGCCCTTCATGCGTTGGTAACCGATAACTCGCAGTAGCAGTCGGTGGTGTATCGTCCGCAACGTCCGGTGTTGATCTTGACGTGGGGCCCATGTCATGCAGCCGTACAGCAGTGCCTCCATCGCCTCGGCCTGGAGCCGTCGAGTCTTGAGTCGGAACGGTGCTCTCGGCCTGTCGAAGAGCTCCTGGCCATATCTCCTGACGCATGCCCACGCTGCTCTGCTCCGGTAATTGATCTCCCGGGTGAGGTCGCCATGTTCGTTGACGAGGCCACCTAGGTGCCGGTCGTCTGGGCGTACCTCTGCCCTGCTGCCTCGATGATCAGCGGTGGCGGTGGGGGGGGCGGTGTTGTTGTTGGTGCCCGGTATAGTGCCGGTAAAATCTCGGGACACACCCTGGCACTATTCAGGCCCCCCGACTGTAGCACGGCGGC